ACCGTGCACGTCCTCGAAGCCATCGGCCGATTCTCCAATATGGCCATTGAAGTCGCCTCCAATGACGACTTTTTCAGTCAGTGGAAAACCAACAACCACCCCATCCAAGGCGTCCCAAAACTCCTTCTTAACTTCGTCTGCCAGGCCAACATGCGGGGCGTAAGCACTCACGACATTGATCGCACAGCCACCCAAAACCAACTTGATAAACATTAGACGATCACTAATCCTCTTCACCTCCACCACAAACTCCCGCAGCTCCGGCGCCACCAGAAAGCCGACTCCATTCCTTCCCCTAGCTGAACCTGAATACCACAATTTGAAACCATCAACCTCTCGCGCCTTAGTGCCCACCCACCTGGTTTCTTGCACTAAGTGATAAAGAATTAAAGATATAAAATCGTACCAAGATAGAGAGAGATAGAGAAGTCTGAGACTCTGAATTGGAAGATGAAGAAAGTCAATTTCGAAAAATTGATCTTCATCGGCTAGAGGCGATGCGACTGGGAGGCTTGAAGGTCGGCTCGATTGTGATTTACGATGAAGGATATGTCGCGATTGGAATTTGGGAATGTCGACAATTGAATAGGATTGCTGATCGGGTAATATTTAAAATTTAACGAAATTTGGTTCGGGTTGGGTCGGGTCGAGTTGGGTCAAATTAACTTAGGTCTTCTTCTCTGACTAATCGCCGCTGATACACGACTAAGCGACACCTTACTCGCCCGGACGATTAGGCTACCATAGTCGCTAGGCGAATAGCATATTGCCTCCCCCATAACGCCTGGACGACTAGTCGTCGCCTAGGCGACGACTTGACTACACTACTTTGATATGATGCTCATACATTGGAGCAAGGACATACCAAGTGTCAAAGCTCCCACACAAATAAGGGGTATTAAAGAGGGGATAATATAAGGTACATTTCCATTGTATCTTTCATGGAGATGGATCCAAGACACAAGGGGATAGATTCCCGCCATTTTAGAGCAAGCCATGAATGAAAACCACTTTTTTTATACAAAATGTGGGCCTCAATATGCTCCATGTTCAAAGCCCTCGAGTCCTCGACACGGATTCACCATAAATGCAAACTACAGAGATTATTTTGAACACACTTTTATTCTCAAACAATGTTCAGTAATGAATTTTCAAATTTAATCAAGCTGGGAAAAAAACAACCGCAGCTTGTTAAGAATTTCAAATTTCCAATACATTGATTGAAGATCTGTTTCAAAGGTTACGTTAGTTATGAAACCAATGTTGACATTTCGAAAGGTGGATATTATTTTGCAGCAACATTAATTGGCTTAGAACATAAGGGCATTGATAGCATAGTACTGAATAAGGACTGAAGGATATAAAACTTATGAATTATCTTTTTCAATAAGAAGGACCAAAAAAATAAATCAAAGGCCAACATATTTGAATACTGCAACAAATTTAAAATTCCCTAGACATGAAACAAAGCAAGCACTGGGGAAAAACTAACCTGAGCCCAAAACACAATACATATTCACCTAAATTACTAAACCCCCAATCCATGGCCGAGAGAACCAGAAAGGTGACATCTGCACTCCTTAAGATATAGAAAAGTGAAAACATTATTTGGATCGTCTCCCAACTTACTACAGTATATTTCTGCAATCCTTCTACTAACATAGTAGTGACATTACATATGAATAAACAATTATTCCTAAATACACCATGTTGTAACAATTGCTAAAATCCTATGCACAAAAGCATCTCTTTAAATTGAATTTTTTATTCTAACCAGGTGATGTATCCAATGAGAAACAATAACTGCCCACTATCGAACATCAAGTTAGGATGTCATTGAAGAAAATCAAACGAAAAGTAATTAGGGATAGTTAGATAGAGAGATGAAACCAATGTTGACATTTCTAAAGGTGGCTATTATTTGGAAGCAACTTTAATTGGCTTAGAATATCAGCGCATGGCATTGATAGCATAGTACTTGATAATGATTTATGGAGAAAAAACTTATGAATTCTCTTTTTTTAATAAGAAGCACCGAATGAAATAAATTAAACGCCAACATATTTGAGTTGCGCAATAAATTTAAAATTCCCAAGACACGAAACAAAGCAAGCACAAAGGAAAACTACTCTGAGCCCAAAACTCTAAATATATTCACCTAAATTACTAAACCCCCAATCCATGGCTGAGAAGAACACCAAGGTGAAGCAGGAAATCACAGTCCTAAAGTTATACTTGTAGCAAATTGAAAATATTATACGCATCGGGATCCGAACTTATTACAGTATATTCCCGCAATCCTTCTACCAACATAGCAATGACATTGCATTTGAATAAACGGTTATTCCTAAAGCACTGTGTTGCCCCAAATGCTAAAATCTAATGCACAAAATCATCTCCTTAGGTTGAGTTTTCGATTCTAACCGATGTATCCAATGGGAAACAAGAACTGGACACTATCGAACATCAAGTTAGGGTTTAATTGATGAAAATCAAACGGAAAATTATCAGTACTTAGGGCTAGTTAGATAGAGAGATACCTGCGTGGAGAGAGCATGGTGGGCCATTTTATAATCCTTATGAAGGACATAGAGCCCGACTGCCGACGCCACCGCTGCTCCGGCGACGAACGACCCGATTCTCACCCTAAGGAGAAATCCCATTCTGTTTACTTCTAAGTTCTAACTGCAACACTACTCCCTCCCACTATTCACTCCCGACTCCTTTTACGGATGAGAAGAGTGATGGGCCTATGGCTATCCAAGTATATGTTGGGCTCAATGATCACAGTATTGGCTGAGCATATATTATTTCCAAGATAGACCACACTTACGCCTATATTGTTTTAAGTAACTTTGGAATTTTAAGCCCACACTGTCTGCCCAGTTTGGTTATTGCATTTTACATTACAAAAAAATCTCTTGCTTCCCATGAAATTAAGAATCAATTTTCATGAAATGATTCGGGTGTGCTCCGATACTTTGTTCATAAAATTGACAGCTTCTATCCTCCTCCCTCGGTAAATCCCTCCACCCTGCCCTGACCTGAACACACCTCCTTCAATTGCACCCACAAGTTAATTTTGACTTTAGGGTTAAAATTTGACTCCAAAGTCAAAATTAACTTGGGGTGCAATTCAAGGGGGTGGGGGGGGTGTTCGGGTCGAGGCGGGGTGTGGGGATTTACCAAGAGGGGTGGGGGTTTGAAAATCTGTTCATAATTGTTATCGTGGTTGATTTATGTGATTTATTTGTATAATTGTTGATCGTGGTTTCGGGAATTGTTGTCGTTAAATAAAAAAGGGTAGTATGCATGATTTAGGCGTTGATTGATGAATTAATGTGCTTGATAATGTTTAGAATGTTAATATGAACCTATTGGTGTATGTTGTTATCGGATTGTTGTTGGTTTGATGCTGGAAAATGAAACAGGTAAGAAGCTGGAAAACTATTGCGTCAGACGGTAGGTGGCACCGCCGGGACGGTACCGTGCTACCATCACACTCTATTTGTTTATGTTTCCTTTGTCGGTAGCTGTGACCGTTCGGTACCTAGGTAGCTGTGACCGTCAAATTTGATTATCAAGAATCAAGAGTCAATATTCAAATTGGGTCTACTTTGCATGATCAACCAACCATCCACTAAACTACACATCTTTTATTTGCACATTCCTCGTTATAAATCCGAAGACCACCCACATATGTGTCAACCTATAAGCTATTAGAAAAAATTATATTCAAAACACCAAATTAAATGTCTATCTTACATGAAGCGCCAGGCTACCTGCAGGTCTTCTCCGACGGGACCGTAAAACGTTTCTCGCCAGAGATTGCCAGCGCATCACCGGCACATCCAACGAACGGTTTCAAGTCAAAAGACGTTTTCATCGGCTCATCACCGGAACCGATCACCGGAAGAATCTACGTGCCAGACGGGGAACAAGAAGCAGCAAGTGATGATGAGCTACTTGCTGTGATTTTCTATTTCCATGGCGGCGGATTTTGCATCGGATCTACCTCTTGGCTCGGCTACCATCAATTCCTCGGCAGCCTATCTGTTCGATCCAAATCCATCGTCGTTTCGGTAGACTACCGCCTGGCACCGGAGAATAGGCTTCCCATTGCTTACGATGATTGTTACTCCGCTTTGGGTTGGGTCCAGGCGAATCAGAAAGTCGAGCCGTTTCTGGAACGCTCCGACCTTTCGCGCATTTTCCTCGCCGGCGATAGCGCAGGTGGAAATATTGTACACCAGGTAGTGCGTGCACATTCACTTTTTAGATGGGGAAATCAATATAAATAAGACTAAAATATATATAAAAAGTATCAAAATAGTAATTTCATTATTTATTTTCAAAATAGGCGTTTGCACGATAGCTATGGCCTATGTGTCAATGTACATGTGCACATTACTATACTTTTTAGTAATGTACATGACCATGTGCACATGAAAATCTTATTTTAATATATTTTCTATGTTACTCTTAATTTTGTATTTTCACTTTTGGATTCCATCGTTCCATACAATCCATTTTGGAAAGAGAGGAAGTACTACCTCTCTTCATTCTGCTCGTATATTATTTGTCGAGTTTTGATTTTTCGTGTTTAAAATTGATAAATTTCGATCATAAATTAAATAAGATTGATATTCTATATTAAAATAGTTTTTTTAGATTTATATTTTAAGAATATTTTCAAAATATTGTTTCATCTTATTAGTATATCATATATTCGGTGATTTTTATTTAATGTTTAATTCAAAAATTAATTAAGAAAAAAATATGGAGTTATAATGTATATTTAATGTAATTGATTTCATTTTGAAATATAGTTTTGATATATAGAATTTTTTAATATTTAATAATTTAAAACTATATTTCAATTACACTAAGTTTGGTTAAAACAATTTAGAAAATAAAATTTTTCTCTTTTTTCTAATCAAAAGGGAAGGAATCGAGCTTCTTCTCCTCTTAATACATTTTGCTTTCTCGTTTTTTTAATTTCTTCCACTTTTCTTTTCTTTCACTCTCTAACCGAATAAGAAAATTACTCCGTATTTTTTTCCATCTTTTTTTCTCTTTTAAATTCTTTGAACCCAAATATAGTGTTATAATCGAAGAGTGTCGCCGTTTATCCAGAAAAGTCAAATTGTGACTTGTTTTTGGACGAAGGAAGTAAATAAAATATTGGGTACAAAAAATTTGATATCAATGTGACATCCATATATTCACAGAAAATTACTCACAAGTGGCTTCATCCAATACTTAATCCAAAGCGTTAATGATTGCGTTTTTCCCAATTTTTTCCTTAATTTTTTATGGTAATCTCTTAGGTCGCCCCTGTTTTATTTCTTTGTTTTTTCTTTTTTTGTTAAAAAAACTTTTCCTAAAAAATAAAAGATCGAATAAAATAAAAAAATTAAAATTAGCAAAAAAATTCCCTAGAAAGTCTTCAAGATCTTTTTTAGTACTTTTATACGGGATATTAAAAATAAAAAAGAAATCTAATTTTCTTTTTTGTTAAGGTCCTTATTTCAGTTATTTTTATATCATGTAAAAATTTAAATTTTTGAAACTTTTTTCCAGAAGAAACATTAAAAAATTATTTATGAAGAAGGAAAGAATGTGAAAAAAGAGACAAGAAAATAGGAAACAAAGAAACTAGAGTGAGAGACCTAAAAGTTATTATCATAAAAAATTAATGGAAAAATTGGAAAACACGCATTTAATAATGTTTATGGATGAAGTATTTGATAAAATGTCTCCATCCAATCATTACAACAAGATGTAAGAGTCTCTATTATTTTTTTGAAAATAGAGAGACTTAAAAATTATTTCAAAAAAAACATGCTTCACCAGTGAGTAATTTTTTCTGGATATATATTTATTGGGTTAAATTCCAATAACTGCAGGTTACTATACAATCTCTTAAGGCGGCAAACAATGGCATAACAATCAAAGGGATTATGTTAATACATCCATATTTTGGGAGCGAGAAGCGGACAAAGCTGGAGACGGAGGCGGGTTCAGCTGGGAACGTGGCAATGAACGACATGTTCTGGCGGTTGAGCTTGCCGGAGGGATGTAACCGGGACTTCTACGGCTGCAACTTTGACAACAATAATGCTGCAGGTTTATCAGCGGATGAGTGGTTGCGCTTTCCGGCAGTGATCGTATTCGTCGCCGGATTAGATTTCTTGAAAGAGAGGGGAGTGATGTACGCGGCGTATCTACGGCGGAAGACGGTTAAGTGGGTGGAGTTGGTTGAGGCGGAGGAGGAAGGGCATGTCTTCCATGTGTTCCATCCAGATTCTGAGGCAACTCGTTTACTTCAGGAAAAAATGACCCAATTTATGTATGCCGTTTAGTTGTTTCATCTACTCAGTATAATCTTTTAAAAAAACTTATCAATAATCAATGAAACCAGAAAAATTGTTGGAGTCCATTGATGCCCAGGCCAGAAAAGAGTTGAGATGGCGAGGAAAGAGAAACAGAAGAAAGGGAAAATTCTCTTATTCGACATTAACTTCCAATATCCAACAAAAACATTAATTAAGTGCATCCTAAGAAGACATGCAGTTTCTGTCGCTCTAAACAAAACAATTCCAAGATTATGTACTTATAATATACTCCCTCCGTCCCATAAAGTGTTACCCATTTTGACTAAAGTTGAAATTAAGGGAGAGATATTTTTGTGTTGACTTTCCAAAAATACCATTGATGTGATGGGTAAAAATAGGATGTGATGTGTAGATTATTAGAAATAAAGTATGATGTGATAGGTATGGTTTGAAAAAATAAGGGGTAAAAGTAGTTTTTTAATAGAAATGAATAGGAAATTGTGAGACACAATTTTTTTGAAATGTGTAAATCTTTTTGGGACGGAGGAAGTATTTAAAATATGTTTTCCCAATTAAATATACCTAGTGCCTGTTTGAGAATGACGTTAGAGATTAGCACTAGTGTTTTATATAAAATTTTAACGATGCAGATTACTTTGAAAACACTAACGCTAAACGTTGCCCCTATATATCTTTTTTAAAATGCTAACACGCTAATCTCTAACGCTATTCCCAAATAAGCCTTTAGTTATGTTAGCAAACGCAGAGGGGAGACAATTGTCAATTTGTGCCAAAGTCAGCATTTTCTTTTAATTCCTTTGCCTTGCATAGAGCCCCACCGTTCCTCCATAGTTTGAGAGAGGTACACATGGCGTCCGACCTTTTTTTAAAAAATTTGAGTGAACGATTTTTTGTAAGATAGTAAACGTACTCCCTTGGTCCAAAATTTATTTCTCGGTTTGATATGACACGGAGGTTAAGAAAAGTTAAACAGTATATAGACTTTCCATGTGTTTCTCTTTATGTAATAGAATAAAGTGAATAGCGTAGATTAAAAGTGAGGGTATAATGGCACTTTCATTAAAAGTTTTTTTTCCAAAATAAGAAACAGGAAAAAAATCTTAGACAACCCAAAAAGAAAAGTAAGAAAGAAACTAATGGATGGAAAGAACAATTTTTATAAAATATACTCCTAAAAAATAACAAAAAATGAGTTCTCACTACAAAGTTTGTCACTCCACTCATTTGTTACTTGCTAACTAGATTGTTTTTTATTTATTAAAATATGCTATGTCGATCAGCGTTTGTCATTCCATTTTTTGCTTGAATATTGCCCATGCTCGAGCACACTTAAATTACAGAATAAAGTATATTATTTACCTCTGTTAGCTTATTTGGATACGGGCATAATATGTTTATTTGTATGTTTGTATTTAATATGGATCATATTTTTAAAATACGTCTAATTATGCGTTTTATACGTTCGGAGTGTGTATATGGATATGTTCGTGTTTTATGCGTTTTGTTTTTCAAAAATATGGTTTATAATGAGTGAAGATATTTTTTATAACAAAGGCAGTTTAAACTTTGAAAATGAATACAATTACTTGTAAAAGTTCTAAAATTTCAACCAACACTACGATGGATTGTTTATTCATTTTTTCAATATATATCTAAAGAAGATCTTTCAATCTAACTATCATTGTGTACTTCAACAAAATGTAATCAAAGTAAGAACACATTCTTAAAAATGCTAATTTTAGACACAAATGAAGCATTTGAGATCAGGAAAAAAAATTATATTATTAGACACTTTGAGTTTTAGGAAATTATTAACTATGAACTCACTAAATAACCTTTTACCCAATTTAAAATTAAGTAAAATGAAATTAACTTTATATTTTTCATTTTTAAAATGAAAAGTACAATTACGAAATTAGATTTTTAAAATTCACATCACACAAATGAAATCAAATTTGTGTATGTAAATGCGGATAGATATTGCTATATTTTACAATAGTCAACAATATGTTACAAAGAACAACACTATTTGATATTTATGAAATAGGACGATGACAAAACAAATCATAAAGAGAAACAATAAGATGACAAAACAAATCATAAAGAGAAAGAAATCATAAAGCAAAATAAGAAGATAAAGAGAAACACAAAAACGAATCATATGAACACAAGATGTAATCAATCAAAATAATCCCAAAAAATTCAGAAATAGGAGAGATTAATTAAGCTGCTGTCTAAAGATCTAGATTCATGTTATTCTTTTTTGGAGGAAAAAAGAAACAAAAGGGAGGAGACTTTAGTGCTCTTAACAAATTGAAGAAAAAAATCTGAAACTTTAGTCAATTTTAGACCAAAAAAATACTCTCTATTGTTAAGGATACAAAATGCAAAATTCATAGCTCATTTAAACCATTACTGAGTGCTATTCACCCTGAGAGATTACAAAATATTTACTGATGATTTTGTAAAATTTGTCTGATTTTGGTGGTTTTGAGGTAGGACGGTAGGAGCATATGTTGTGGTGGTAGTGGGTGAGTGGGTATGGTATGTGTAGAAGAATTGAAGTACTTCTACACATTGGTATATGTAGTATTTCCCTTTGTGCAGGTGGGACAACAAAACCACCAAAATCAAAAAATACCTTTGTGCAGGTGGGACAACAAAACCACCAAAATCAAAAACTAAAAGGAAAAATTACCCAAAATAATCCCAACTTTACCCGGTTTTTCAAAAATAATCCCACCTTTCACTGTGATGCATAATAATCCCAACTTTATTGAAATTTGTCAGTTTTGGGTCGCCGTTAAGTTTCTAACGGAGGGTTAACGGAAATGCCCATTTTAGGCAACAAAATGAAAGTTGGGATTATTTTTGATGAATTTTTGTTTTTTAATTTTTTTGAATTTTTTATTTAAATTTTTTGAATTACTTTCAACCTCCATTTCTTTTTCTTTTTTTTAAAGATTATTCTTACCTTAGAAAAAAATAGATATAAAAAATAATAAAAATGAGAAAAATAACTAAAACCATACAAAATTAATCAAATAAATAATGTAATCAATAAAAATTAAACAGAAACTGGTAAGAAATAAAATAAATATGTACGGAGTGGTGGGTTTTAACATTTTACACGCTATATGGAGTCTTAGGGGCTGTTTGGCAACTTCTGAATAGGTAAGTGCTGAACTAGTAAGAGGTCTGAACTATTAAGTGTTGAACCAGTAAGAGGTCTGAACAATTAAGAGCTAGTATATTGCTTAACTATTCAGAGGCAAATGTCTGATCAATTCAGATAAGAGGTCTTAACCATTCAGACTCTGCATAATACTTAACCATTCAGAGGCAAATGTTTTAACCATTAAGACATCTGAACCATTAAGAGGCTGAAACAAACAGTCTGAACCATTAAGTGCTGAACCATTCAGACATCTGAACCATTAAGAGGCTGAAACAAACAGCCCTTTAATGTACTACTTATTTTTTAAAAGAACAAGCCGTCCGGTAAAGTTGGAATTATTGTAGATAATTTTTTCTAAAAAATAAGAAGTGATATGTTAATACTTTGTATAATGCGTAAAATATTAAAACCCACCCGTGTATTTTTATTTTACTTTTACCAATTTCAAGTTAATTTCCATTGATTACCTTATTTATATTATTAGGGTATTTTTGTATCATTTTAGTTACATTTCTTATTTTTTTCATTTTTATATCTATTATTTTTATTTTTTAAACTAAGACTAATCTTTAAAAAAGGAAAAAGAAATGATGATGGAGGTAGAAAGTAATTTAAAAAATTTAAATGAAAAATTTTAAAAAATAAAAAAATGAAAATTCATCAAAAATAATCCCAACTTTCATTTTGTTGCCTAAAATGGGCATTTCCGTTAAACCTCCATTAGAAACTTAACGGCGACCCAAAACTGGCAAATTTTAGTAAAGTTGGGATTATTATGCATCACAGTGAAAGCTGGGATTATTTTTGAAAGACCGGATAAAGTTGGGATTATTTTGGGTAATTTTTCCAAAATAAAGGGGGGGGGGGGGAAGGGGGTGAACATGAGTATATATTTCCCTTTGTGCAGGTGGGACAACAAAACCTCATTGGTGTTTCTAGATGAGAACTCAACAAAACAATAAACATATTATTCTCCAAATATGCCCCAAGATGTCAAAAGTTATTGTGTCAACAAAACCAAAGATGAAGCAACAAAACCAAACAATTGACATGGACAACTATTTTTTTTAGGGATGCTAGGGGTACACCAAAAGTGTACTCCAAATGTACACCACTCTCTTTATAATCACTAATTTTTATTTATTTATTTCTTTTTTAATTTACATGTCAAAGTGTGTGGCAATGAAGGGGGTGATGTACATTATATTTAGGGTACACTTTTGGCGTACCCCTAGCATTTTTGATTTTTTTATGCAATGTGGGAATATTGATTCAGAATACCTATAAAAGGAAGTGAAAAAAGAACAGAGAGAGAGAATGACAAAATTGACATGGGATTAGAATATGAATTATTCAAAAAGTGTTAGGTTTACATCGCTAGATAGAGATATGAAAATTTACTCAAAAATCATGTTGTAGGGTCTATCACATAGCACAAGCTTCCTGGACACCCCTGACCGCATTCCCTCCGGGTCAGAAATTAGGGTTTGAAATTCATAAAAAAATTGAGTAAAAAAACTCCAAAATCATGTTAGGATTTACCTTAATTTGAACAAATTATTGATAACTGGAGAGAAAAACAAGTTGTAAAACGATAGAGAAGACCTTACCTTGAAGATGAAGGGAAGGATTGAAGGTGATGAAGATGGAGAAGATGAAGGAGTTCATGCGTAAAAAGAGAAGAGGAGTCGCAAAATCCCACCGCTTTTGATGGAAATTGGAGTTGTATTTATACTTAACGCACAAGAATCCATCAAAATCTACATTTTTTAAAATCTTTAAAAATTTATCAACTTTTGAATCATTTAATACTCCGTATAATATTTGAGAGTTGATAGCTTAGAATTTTGATACGTGGCACCTTTTAAAATGGACACGTGTATACACCTCCTCTTAGACTTCTTCAAACGGAGGGTTTCACCAAAGGAAAGTATTGAATTGCTTCTTCTCCAAAAGTAAGCAGTTTTTACGCATCCCTTCCTCACTGGTCTTCTCCAAAGAAACTCTTAAATATTTGGCCGATCTTTGCTTTCCCGCAGAAGGAAACTATCGCACAAGGGAAACGCAGTCTCTTCTCCAGGAAGGAAACTCTCGAAAATTAAGCCGTCCACTTCTCCACCAAGGTAAACTCTCGAAATTCTGCATATTCGTCCACTTCTCCCTCGATTACGTCTTCTCTAATTTGCTGAAGGAAACTTGAAGATACCATGTTTCTTCATCCGATCTTCTCTCTTAATTGAGATCCAAAATACCAAAATTGAGATTCAAAATTGAGATTTGATATTCCATATGAAAATTTTCTTTGACGCTGCAATCGCGGTTAATTGGTATGTTTCCAATTTCATATTTAATTGTTAATCACCCATTTTTCGTGCATATTCTTTGTATTGTTTCCTTTAATTTGTATAATATTATTGTTTTTTGTATGCGATCTAATTGAGCATCTTTCTGATTCAATTCATGCGATTTGCCAATTTCATGTTTCAACAGATTCTGCTTATCAATTTCCATGGCTGAAATTCGAACCATCGTATGAATCCCAAGAAGATAGACTGTTGATGCAATTTGCTAATTATTTCAAGTTTCAAAACCTTTTGCTTCCCAATTTTCATGGATGAAACTTTTCAAAGAATCTTTAGTAGCAGAGATAGCAGATGTCAGCATATATCTACCTATGACCTCTACAATCCTGACAAAATAGGTTAGCATAGGCAATATTTCATTGAGTATTGCTTTTTCTATGCTAAAAGTTTAAACTTTAAACACTTAATTTTTTGTTGCTCTGAAAAAAGGCTGGTCGTTCCTTTCTCGAATCATACTTAAGGTTGTGTTAGTAATAATTTTATCATTTTCATAAATAATAATTTCCGATTCACAAATCTTATTATGTTTTAGGTTGTTTTTCTCAAGCGTCCCCTAAATATTGCTAGAGGCTAGCCTGGAGTTTTATATTTGCAAAGGTAGTCCGCTGTATCACTATGACTGACACCCCTTTAGAATTCTCTGATCTCTTCCCCCAACATATGCAGCCTCAATCTCAGGTCAGATTCTTCTCCTCTTTTTGTTCTTAAGGTCAAGTTAGCAATAATTGTATCAGTTTTATACGAATTCTCACTTCTTAAATCTTATTATATATGTTCTTTGTTATTTGAGTTCTCAAAGGCTCATTATTCGAATACTAATAGGGCTAACCATGGTTTCATGTCTAAATAGGGTTTTAAGGTATATCTGTTATATATATAAAAGGAGTGTTTTAATCATTTTTTTGCTTAGGTATATTTCACAAATTTCTATCTCTATTTAATAAAGTATGAAACTACTCTCAATTTTTTTCTGTGTTTTTTTAGTATTTTAGATTCCTAAATTTTCAATTCAGAAACAAGGAAGAGGACAAATTGCAAAACAAATAAAGTATATTTTATAGCATGATATATGCTTTATAGCATGAAGTTAGATCCCACTTGATCTATTTTAAAACATTAATCATCAACTATAACCCAAAAAGAACTGTGTATGTTTCTCTTATCTTAACTTGCTATGTTTCTTCTACCATGGAATTTAGTAGCTTTTTGTGATTCATATAAATGAATTAAAAAAAGTTTAGGGTAAATGAGGTTATATTTCAAGTAGGCTTGCCCTGATCTTTGTTCTTATGTATTCTTAGTTGGTCATTTTGTTTCGGGGGGTAAGTGGGGAGTGGTAGTTTTTCTTTCTAAAAATATACCAAAGTAACACAAACTTGACACTTCATTTATTATGACCTTGATGAACATATCAAGAATTAATTTATCAAAAGATTGTTCACCTGACAATTGCCATCCCCCGAATCCTTAGACTCTATTAGCAGCCTCTAGGAAAAGTAGGAGCTTAATGTCTTATATATACTACTCAATAACAGTAACGTCCTAATAATACCAAGTTACCAACTTTGTTATAGTCTTGTGGGTTAAGCTGCATTTAGTCTTACCCCTGTTAGAACAGAATGGTTATTTTTCATTACATCTTAGACGCACTCTTGCATTTACTACCTAAAACGTAACTGTAACTAACAAACAAGGGAAATTTAATATGGTGTTGCTCTCATATTTGACTATTTGAGGTTAGTTACACCTTATCCTATTATCTAATACAATAACTTACCGATGTCATTAAGTAATAATAAGAACTTGGGTGCGTGTATGTACAAACAACAAAGTGTTCGATGCCTCTAACTCCAGTTTTACTCAAATTCTGACCTCATTGCCTGCTTGAATATGTAAGTCATTTCTTTCGTATTAGTTAGGAGTAATATTCATTTGTTCGCCACCCACTTGCTAAGTATTGTGATCTGATTTCTGTTGCCTTTAAAAAAGAATTTTTGTACCTTTTATGAGTTTTGGGGGTTTTAGCATAAAGATAGGTAGGACGAGAAAACACTAAGTGACAAAATGCGGCTCAAATTTTCATGCATGCACAGGCTTCTTATGAAAAGAATGAAATCAAAGAAATTATATCATTAATATATGAAACACTTTTTACTCATTAATATAATGATGATGGGTATAACTTCTGTCCAAACATTTTTAAAAAAATTGTTTTTCTTGCTGGAATCAAAATTGTATGTGTTTAGTTTTGCTTTTAAAATTTAGCTTTCAATTTGGCCTTGGCTTTCCCTGTTATTGCCAACTAAAGCCTTGAAGCTGAAGTTATAATATCTTACACAAGTATTTCAGTGATGATCAAAATGGCACATTAATATAAGCCTTTAGGTTGATGTCTTGAAATTGCTTGAACCCGTTGAAGAAGCTAGCTGTCATGTACTATTTTGGAAGCTTCAGGACCTTCTCCATTTGCTCACACACACTGTCACGGAAGAAATTATTATTGCTCATCAGTCATCAAATGCATTGCTTCCATCAAAACTAGCAGTTGCTTTTTCCATTTTTCTCTTCTCTTCCAAAACTAGCTCAAGGATATGATGTACTTTTTAATTGACTTTTTTCCGGGTAAAAAACAAGTGATGGAAAAAAGAAATTTCTCTTTGTTCCATTTTATTGAAACTTTTTTCCGGCCATGTATGCTTCAGAAGAAGATGGAAATGAAAAGGGCAAGATTTTCTACTATGTTCAGGTTCTTATTAGTATTAATTTCTCTGTTCCAAATTGTGTGGTGAAATGGATAGATGATGCTCAATTGCATTGCTGTTTATCAAAACTTTGGATTGAATTGAGCTTTTTAAATTTAAACATCATAGAATGGTCGCACACAGGTATTGGATTAAGTCTAGAGTAAATGACTCATTAGATAGTGCTACTTTTGTCATATTTGAAAACCTTGGAATGTTTATTATTGCACAAATCATGTTATGAGATGCTAAAATTTTATGGTACATGTAAATGATGCTCATGAGTGTATTTCTTTGTAATATTTTTTTGTTTCAACCATGATGTTATTGTCTCTATACTATTTTGATCCTCTTTTTCAACTTAATTTCGTATTCATTGATTTTTTAATTAAAATCAATGTGGTTCATTTTCTACTGCCAACATAAATTTTGACACAATATGTAGAACATATCTCGGCTTTTTATCATGTTTTGGGCCCAATAATGTGAATACCATCAAGGATTAATCCATAATCACTAACTATGGTTTGTATTGCCATGAAAAGCATGTCCTAGGAGGATATACACAACTAGAAGCAGTTAAGCAGATGTTGATCGACAACTCATGTATTTTCAAAGTTGAGGTCACGAATGCTTGCTTAAATGAATTTGAGTCGTCTCTTGATGTGATCAACATGTGTTTTAATGACCGGACCTTTACAAATTTCATGAATTTAAACAATACCTTTTCCTTAGCTCAGGTTTTATTTTGTGTATCATAGATTCTACCATAAAGCAAAATGTCTTATGTATTGTAATATTATAAATATCATCTTGCTAATTTATTTGTCCTCACTTGGATGCAGAATGATGTCATTTTTATTTCCTCAGCAAGTGAAAAGTCTTTAAGGCATGAGTTTTCAGCTAACAAAGCATCCTCGTGCGTAATGATAGATATTTGATGTTTTTTTTATCAATAAGAGTTGGTTTTATTCAAATAAAAAAACTAGAATACAAGAGGGAAGTTGCCCTCAAAAAAGAAAAACTACAGCCAAATCCAAAAAACCACTCCAAAACTAACACATTCTATGTCATGATGGTAGCACAACTGTGTTAACTAAATAGTTTCTTAATGCTCTTTTAATATACAAACTGATGCAACTGTGTTAATCAAATACTTCCTGAGTATTTGTCCATTTTTTACTTTTTTAATCAAAATTGATAAATTTTAACATCAAATTAAATAAAAATGATATTAGATATTGATACAAAAATAATTTTATTAGATTTATTATATCAAATATTTTCAAAATATTATTTTATTTAATTAATATACAATATATATTTTATTTAGTTGTAGGTCAAAGAATGAAAATGGTTGACTGAAAAAAATTAAAGCTGGACAAAAACTCATAGTACTTTCTTACTACACTAAGATATGAACTGGCTGGTGATACGTAAGTGTGTGAAAGTGTGAAACACATATATAATGTACTCAACGGAATCCTGTATGCTTTCCTTTGTATATAAAGGATTCAAACTCCAATATGTGTCACTTTTTTGACACGTTATTCATGACCGAGAAATTAAGAAAATACTTCACACTTCACAGTATGATTTAATGCAGATTTTCAGCAACGCTTCATAGTTCTACTGCTTCATAAATACTTTCTTCCAAATAGTTTTTCATTCTTTACTTGAGTTTTGTAGTTTTTCTCAAAAACTTTTACGTGGATGACTATGTTTCACATTCCATGTTCGTTACTTTTTTGTTTCTTTGATAAAAAAATCATTCTTTCCTGCAGAGAACCCGAAGCAGAATAAAAGTTTAAGGAAATCAGCAATGCTTATGAGGTAAATCTACTGATATTTAAATACAACTATTGGAAATACCTTTAAGTTAACTATTGGTTAACAGAATTTTAAGGAAATCAGCAATGCTTATGAAGTAAACCTACTGATATTTAAATACAGCCATGGGGAATACCTTTAACTCTTTAAGGCAATTTTATTCGGAACATCCCATTTGCGTTTGTTTCCTTTCATTCTGAATCGTTGAAAGCTAAGCTAATTTTTTGTCACAATTTAGTAAGCTTTATATTTCGTAAATCTTGAACAATCGGGGACTCGATTTGCCAAAGCTGGAGAAGATTCATTTGAAATGGGTTTGTTCTAAAAACTCAATCAAATGAAATATTATAATCTCTATGTATTCTTCCTTAATTTTAACATTTATTATTCATGCAATAATTCAAGTTTGTTTATCTTTTTACTTATAGAAAGATAGGAAAAGGTGGCGAGGTTGGAGTCGAAATTGCTTGAAATTTCCACAACTATATATATAAACCGAAGCGGCGGAAGAGAAAGACCACATATTGAAAGCTACGAAGTAGCCGAATTTGCAAATTGTCAACGAGTATTAATTTGAAACTTTTTTTTGATTCATTTCGCAGATCTTTACATACCCCCTTGCTATTAACTAATTAAAGACAATCTTGAAATGGATGAAGTTTGGATTGTGTTCATATTCTCTTTTGATTTCTTCCTCTGTAATTCAATTTTAAACAAATTGAATTTTCAGTGTTGCTTTATTTGGATCTCAATCGTGAATGAATCAACTTTTAACGTCTTTTCTTATTAATGGATAATATGGATATAGAAATACGGAAGCCTCCTTTTAAGCATTGAAGCCATTAGTTTATTCAATGTTAATATTTTAAGCTTTGAATGAATGTTTAGCCTTGAGTTATTCTATTTGAGTACTTTAGCCTTCAATGTTGTTTTGCCATGAGTCAATTTCTAACGAGTAAGGGACGAAGCATTTTTGTGTACCTGCTGCCAAGTTCGCAGAATTCCAACGATTCATAATAGTACGAGTTAAAAAAACATAATGAAATCATATTTTTATGATCAATTTTTTTTAATCGAATTTGTGGACATATTGTAAAGTATTTACATTGCATGTATCTTCATCTTCCCACGCTAATAGTGACACACAACTTTTTTCTAAGTGGATAATCAAGATTGCAGATGGACAGCTTAATTGGCGTGGTTATTGATGGAATTGGTGAAATTGAAATTCCATCTGAATCCTTGATCCTGAACTCAATTTCTCAACTTAAGAGTATAGTGGAATTCACGTATCTAGACTTATTAGAAAATATGAAAGATTATACTTTTTTATGGATAGAGCTTTATTAGCATCATGGGCGGATGCACATTGTGGGTAATGGGGCACTTGCCCCCAATGACTTCCAAATACCTTTTAATAGATACAATGATTTTTTTAAAATTTTAAATATGCCCACACCAAAAATTCAAATATGCCCCCATTAATTTCCTGAATCTCGCTTAAAAAAAGTAGGTCAAAGCATTTAAAATCCTTAATTGAAAATTAGTTTTAGTAATCTATTTATATATAAAAAATTAAAATTTAAAATTGCTAATTTACTTAATTATAAATTATGTATAGCAATTCACAATATTTAAATAAAATTTCACATTATTTTTATCGTTTCATAATATATTTCAAAAAATATTGGAGGTGTCGCCTCCAAACCCCCGACCTGTTATTCTTGCCCCCAGTCCTTTATTTTTCTAGATCCGCCACTGATTAGCACCACGTTTGAAGTTGTTGAAATGATCAATGATTTTGTTTTGTCTCTTATTCCTCGAGATAAAAAGAAGTATTTGAGCTCTGATTCTTCATGTCAATCAGATTCAGATGTAGGAATGGATGGTGGTTGGATAACAACTGAGTTTTTGAACGTTATCAAGTGTTCTGGGATTTCCAACCACAGAATTATTTTGAAGAAAGGAGTACCAATTATGTTATTAAGAAACATTGATCAAACATCTGGGTTGTGTAATGGTACAAGGTTAATGGTTGAAGAGTTGCAAAGAAATGTTATCGGTGCAATTGTTGTATCAGGAAACAATGTCGGGGAGACAGTTTACATACCGCGAATGAATTGACACTGTCAGATTCTGGATAACTGTTTAAGTTTCAAAGAAGACAATTTCTAATATCTTTATGTTTTGGCATGATGATCAATAAAAGTCAAGGTCAAACACTGTCATTTGTTGGACTATTCTTGACCAAATCGGTATTCACTCACGGTCAACTTTATGTTGCAGTTTCACGAGTAAAAACTAAGAAAAGATTGAAAGTGTTAGTTTTAGATGACAACGGTAACCCTTGCAATTGCACTAAAATGTGGTTTATCTTGAAGTTTTCCAAAAAAATTGGTTATAATTAAAACATTTATTCATTCTTTTCAATTTTATATACATGAATTTTAGTTAGCATACTCTGTTTATGTCAAATCATTCATTAAACTTCTAACGTTGTATATTATATTTAGCTATATTTTCTAATCATTTACTAAAACCGGAAATTTAACAGAGATAAAAATAACATATGTTTGACCCCGTGCATTGCACGGGTTAAATACTAGTACCATCATATTTAGAAAGATTTTTTAAAGTTTGAATTGAATACACACAGACTTTAAATGACTTTTTAAATTCCGAATTGAATACCTACGGATTTTCAAAATATAAAAAAATTTATTAGAATCTTGATTGAATACATCCCTTAATCTCTTGGTAAAAATCTGGGAGAAAGAGGTAAAGGGTAGGACTAAGCTTTTATAATTATATTGATCGGCAAGAATCCCTCCAAAACTCCAAAAGGGCAGGAAATAAAATTAGATATCCACATCGATCATGCATTCTCATTTGCAAAATACCCATGATTTACTTAAATAGGACTAAAACATAATGAATTTTTCCAATATAGGACCATATATTTTTATTTCCCAATGTAGGACATTTGGTCATAATCAAGTAGTCATTATTCAACTAAATATCCATCATTACTGGACATTATTCCTTCCACTAAGTCATTATTAAGTCCTATTTAGGAAATAAAAAAGTTTAAGTCCTATATTAAGAAAGTCATGTTTTAGTCCTATTTAGTGCAAATTTCACAATAAAATATTCTTATCACCACTTAGGTTTGTTGAACTATTGATATAGTTTTTAAATATGTAAGTTTTATTTTTTATTTCTATACCAATATTTAAATAAAATAGATTGAAAAAAATTTAGGTTTTTTCTTTGTTTTTCGCAACGGGAAGAAAGATATGGGACAGAGGGGATATTAGAATTACCACGCAAACCATAATGTTGGTATGAATTGTTAAACAGCTACATATGTTACATCCAATACCGAAATTTACAGGTCGCTCATATAACACACAAAAAAACTGTGAAAGAGATACAAGGCTGAATGGCATCCCATCAAAGGAGAGAAGTCTTGGGAGTAGATCGGCGGTATGGAAGGTGGTGGTCACATGGACGGTCAGGAATCCCCTCTTCAGCACGCCTTTCTTCAAACCACTTCACAACTCTTTTGCGGGGAAGATTTGTGACATGCACAATGCTACTAATCACGGCATTCTGCAAATTTATTTATGTTATGTTTCAAATGGTAGCATCATCATCATCTCTTTGTTATGCTAATAAAATTTTATCAAGTTACTGCACTATAAATTCATGCAAAACATGTCACAACCTTGACGGATAATGAGACAAATATTCCATTGCAATATTAGGCCTGGAAAGCATAGTCCCCTTCTATCAAACACAACTTTATCTTAACAAATTATGTCTCCATGTAATTTGAGTTTTACAAACTAGGCATCACTTTTCGTGCAAATTAGGGAGTATTAATGTTTCAGGTCATATAGTGTGGCACAAATGTTAGGCTGCATAAATGATTATAAGAAACACTCCGTAAGTAGACATGGTTAGGTATAAAAGTACTCACAGTGGGTCTTCTCGATCGCCCATAAACTTTTTCAAGTGTTTCAAGTTGCTTTTTCTTAATTCTCTTCTTAGCAGACCAGTTCTGTTGCAAAACATGAACCGGCAATTCCTCGCTAGTGTCTGTTTTTACAGTGTCTTCAGCCTTCTCCAGGGGGATGCTCAGAGGTTCTGAGATTGTTGAAACAGGTTTATCCGGTAAGGCAGCACTCAGCAATACTAGATGTGGTGGAGGATCGCGTAGTATGCTGAGAACGAAAGCTCTGTCAAGACAGAGATCAGCTGCAAGGTTTTTTATCTGCATGTAAAGAGAGTTATGCATGAGGGTATTAGCTATTTGGGATAGTAATTACTCCGTAAATAGATGAAATTTTTTAGCTTTGCACACTTGCAACAACAACCTGTTCATAGAAAATAAATACTCCGTACTTTTTTAAAGTGTATGCAGCATAGCACAAATTGTGATGTAGTATCAAGTAGCAAAACAACACTTTCACCAATAATACAGCAAATAGAGTATAGCAGATAGTTGCAAATTGCAATGATGGATGCTCATATAGGCTATAGGCTTAGTTGCAAATTGCAATGATGGATGCTCATATAGGCTATAGGCTTGAGCTTTCTACAGTGGTTGTGGCCTAAAACTATGTCAATTACACCGTGGAATTGTGAGTGACTGTGTGTGTATGCAGTGGTTTTCCAATTATGGTATCATATAAGCATCGGACGAAACAGGCCAGAGAAACAAGTAACTATACTTGAGTGTTTATGCCCTTAAATACTTTGATTGTGAAAACTTAGGGTATGGATTGATGGTTCAATGGCACATCTTAGTGGAATCAATGCCTGTTGCATTTTTGCAAAATGTAGATACCATATTTATGCCCTATCTTGAATACTCAAAAGAATTTCTGCTGCATATACAGGTGACATATATATGTGATTTGGTTCTTTTCATTCAACTTGGTGACAGCAAAAGGTGATAAGACAGAAAAGGAATAGTGTATAATGAAGAAACTATGTGACTGAAGAGCAAACCGTAAGTGAAGATGGTTTTACCTTAACAGAATTTTGAATGCAATTACCTTAAATATAAACTTAAACAAAGATAAGTGCATATGCAATAGAAACATACACTTGTCTTACGTCTGCCAGTTTTGAGGGCATAAGCCAGTCTCTTGAGTTGCCATTTTTTCAATTGTTCTGGCCTTTCATCTTCATCATCTTCGTCGTCATCATCTTCAACTCCTTCAATATCATCATCGTCTTTTTCTTCTTTTGCTCCGTCTTCACGTCTCGCTTCATGTTCAAGTTCCTGATTTTTCTCATCCAAAAGTGATTCGATGTTTCCTAATAACTCATCATCCTTCAGAGCCTCGTCGAGGTCTCGTTCAAGATTTATGATGTCTTCCTCTGTTATTTCACTGTCCTCATCCAAAGAGAGATCATCATTTTTCAGATCTTCTTCAAGCTGAATAAAAAGTGCCTCAAAAGCATCTTCATCCAAATCATCATCCACCTCATTGATTTTATGAGACAAACTTTTCTGCATTAAACAAAACTCAAATATAAAAGTTTGCAGTTGTTAGTATCAACTACCATGGTGGTATAGTTATATAAATACAACAATAATCACAGGGCACAAAGATTTGGGAGCATATGGTCTTTCACTCATGGAAACAAAAAAAAAAACACATGGTCTTTCAGCAATTTACAGCTACTTGTTACCTAGTTACCTACTCCCTCCGTCCCAAAATAAATTTCCCACTTTCCTTTTTCATCCTTAACGAAAATAAACTTCCCACTTCTTTTCTTTCTTCCTCAGCAACACTCCTTCCCTTGGTGAATCGTCTTGTGATTCATCTTTGTTTAGTTGCCAGAAAAAATGGACGATTTAAAATCCTTGTGAACTACTGCCAACATCCTCAAAAGGTTACCAGCGTAGATCAAGCTCCTAGAGGCCAAGTCTGACACCCTAATGGCAAAAAACAGATTCTCTGGGCAAGTCCAAAGCCCATCACGCCAACCTCTAGCGAAGGGACTGCAACCTCGAGCAGTATGATGCCCAACTTCAACACCTCTTGGTAAGTACCAGGGAGCTAGCTCTATACACAGCTGGATTGGATGAACACTTCAATCTTGACGTCAAATATGAACTGCCTCTAAATCTGTTTTTAGCCATTTATTTGGCATGGAAATACAAACATAAAGGCCAGGCACTGCCCAGCCTCTACCAAAGCCTAAGCTTCAAGCAGCATGCTCCATCACTGCCACCAGCCCCTCCTGATTTAAAAAACGGCCCATTCATCGAATGTTGGCCCAGAGGGGATGCCAAACCATGGTGTGAAGGCTCTCTGTTTCAACTATGACGATCGATACCATCAGGGCGATGAATGTAACAGGCTGTCTTACCTGGAACACGAAGACGAGCTCGACCTCATCGGTGACGTCACGGATGAGGAGCATACAGAATGCATCCCATTACCTCATAGATTTGACCATTATCAGGGTACCCGATTACTGCACATATTGATTCCGGATGCATAAGTAATTTCATTAACAACACCACGGTCCACAGACTATACATTGGGGCTACAGTGTGTTCTTTCCTCAGGCTTATCGTTTTTTTTATTCTCAACAGCAACACCATGAGTATTGGGTGGATTGTTACAACGTCCCTAATTAAAAAGCCAATAATTTTCACCAAAGTCCTCTAAGTCATCCTGCTGACCGGTTTTGGGGCATTTTGGGGATGAATCCCATTCAAAGATGAATCTATGACGATGTCACTCCTTTTACAAGGCTCCTGCGTCTGCTGGTAGGATGATACGGGGGCAAGCTCCGCCCTTTTACAACAATTTTATGACATTTTGACAAACCACGAATGCTGCCACAGTCCCGGTCATGGGACTACCCAATACAGCTGCTCCCAAGGGCAGCCCCAGTCGTCCAAGCTCACCGCTACCCAAAGATACAGAAAGATGAGATCAAACGCCAAAGTGCCGACTAATGTGCAAATCAAATCCACATTCTCCTCCCCTGTGTCACTAATGTGCAAACCTGTTGGGACCTAATGTTTGTGTGTCAACTCCCGGGAGCTCCTTTCTGAGCTTAAGCAACATTTTCCATCATTCAACCGTGAGGACATGCTCTCATGGGGTGAGAAATGATGCATTCATGGTCTATGTGTACGAGCAGTCAAGGAGGAAATTAATTTAGGCATCTCACAGAAAATAAAAGGAGGAAATTAATCTAGGCATCTCTTTTCATCTTTTAATTTCCCAATATCTATCTTTATTTATGGTGTTGTTGCCATTCCGGATTCATACTTGTAATAAACTCTATTTAGCCTTGTTTTTTCAATAAATAAGACAAATATCAATTAATATAGAAAATGGTAGTTAGGGTTCTAATAAAAAACCATCCCCGTGATATTCTCTTCATGTGTTTCTTTCCAGACCATCAAGCTCCTCCTTATTTGGACCTTCCACTTGTCGCAGGCAAATAGGAGAGCATCATAGGCACATGTTATTCCTCGGAAACTCTCCTTACCCCGTTCAACCGTCCTGTAACAAGGAGCTACACCCAGGAACTCATTAGTATACCCACATCTCACCCTCTAAGACCTTACATCGGAGTGGTGAACATATTGGGCATGCTTGGTTTCATTTAATTTCCATCCTTTTCATCACTCAAATAAAAAGAAACACATCTCTTTTAACTTTAATCCCTCCGTAAGAGGGATGCATCCAATATGCACAAGTTCCTTGCAACGAAACCCAACAAAAAACCCCCAAATCAATGAAAGTCTATTCAAAATTTGACACCATATCAACCAGGTCGTATCAAACAAATCTAGCAGAACTTCGATGAAAAAAAATTACTTAGCCCATAAACCATATTGCCGTGATATGAAAGCATTCCAATCCCTAATTTTTACAGATCAATAATACTTCATGATTTATATGGAGAATAGTATAGTGTAAGTAATAAAAATAAAAATAATATTTCACGGGATAAATTAACTGGAGTGTGTGCGTCTCTGTCTACTCGACCAATCAAAAATTAAATTCTTTTTTCGTCAAACCAAATGGATGAGCAAAGAAAAGAGCTATCTAATCGATACTGAATAGAGGTTTTTCTAATACCTTTTGTTTCTTCTTATTTGATGGAGTGGAAGCACGGCGGGGGCCGTCACTTCGACGGCTAGAGAAGGTCAGAACAGAGGAAGAACAATGACGTGCGGAAGGGAAGGTTGTTCTGCTGCAGGGTCGGCACACTGAGAAGACATTCTTTTGGGAGCATTGGAATCTGATAGAAATGTGTAGCGATGTTGAAGCAGCCATAGACGCCAATTTCCTGCTTCCTACCGACTGCAACTGAGAAATGTTTAATGGGGGTTTGCGAGGTTACTTTTAGAGCGGTTCAATTTTAGGTCTAGACAAAAACGGATCTAATCGGACCATTAGGTCTACACGGAACCACGACCGAAAGAATTTGGAGTCAGTCTTGGGTCTCAAAAATTTAGATGTTCGGGTTTTTGTCCAGTTCGGTCTAAAGTTAAAATAATTTAGGTTCGGACCGATTGGATCGAATGGATTTATAACTCAGTTGGATCTAAAAGACTTAAATACTAAAATTCTACTTTTTATGTTTCGTATTACACTTTGATATTCTATTTTTATAAATATCATAATTTATTTAATTAAAACAGTTTTTTATTAAGTAATTTTACAAAATATTTAAAAGAAAAGGTTTACATTAGTTTTTATGATTCCTCATAGAGGTAGTGCATGTGTATCTAATTTAGGTTGTCTATTTTATTATATTTTTCTATTTGCACACTACAAAATAAAAAGCCTAAAAATATATTTAATTTATCAAAATAATTAATATATACTCATATTATATTCAGTCCAATCGGTCTGGACCGGTTTGGTCCTAAGCATTTGGGTCTGGCCGAGTTCAAACCTGAATAAATTTAGGTCCGGTCTCATATTCGTGATTCTAATTAATTCAGTCTTTGATCTGGTCCAGATCGGTCTGGTCTTGGACCAATGAACAACCCTAGTTACTTTGTTATAAGGCCTTCTTGTGTGGCTACAACTTTGACAAGGTCCGTTTAGAAAGGGAAGATCAACCGTAGTGGAGGTATCTCATGGAATGTACCTTAAAACTATGCAACAACATTTTGATTATTTACATTGACATAATATATTAGTGCGATAAAATTTTGCATTGCCATTTTATACCTCAAAAGTTGTACCTTAAATTATATCGCAAGTATGCACCTTCATTTAGATATCAAAACTCAACCTTATACTTCATCTGTCTTAGTATATTTATCCAACTTAATTTTTTCGAATCAAAGGAGATGAACATTAAACATCAATCAAACAAAATATGTAATGTATATTCTTATAATAATGATTTTATTAGATTTATCTTCCTAAAAACTTTAAAAATTTTATTTTATAGTATAATATGCAATACAAAGTGAGAGTAATTAAAGCACAAAATTTATCCGATGTGGCTCAAAAAGTTAAAGTAAACAAATACATGAGACACAAGTAATATTATTTTGTGGCATGTTGTCAAAAGAAAAAGAGTAAAATTTTCTAAATAGTCCTTTATAATTAAGATTTTTCATATTTAGTCCATATTTATGAAATATTATGTTTACAAGCTTTATTAATTGGATATTATTCCACGTTTGGTCCTTCATCTATTTTTCCATTTCAGTATCGCTAAACAAAGACTCAACGTGGAATAGTACACAATCAATAAGGATCATAAATATAATATTTGACAAAAGTAGACTAAATATGAAAAGTTGTAAGTTTTAAAAGAATATTTAGAGAATTTATTTTTTGTAAATCATTTTTTATATAAAAATAAATAAATATTAAAAATGTATAATTGCCCTTTATTTGTAAGAGGTCAAAATTTGTATACCATAAAATTGTAAACCAAATATTTCAAATTTTTAATACCAGAATCGGCTTGGAGTGGGTAGAAATTAAAAAAATAAGAAATCACCCTAAATAAGAGTAAATATAGCATTTATCATCAAAATAAGAGTTCCATATTTTTTTCTTCAAAATAGGAGTTTGCATTGTGATATTATGACACTATATAGTGGCATCTCACTATATTTTTTAGTATTATATATTGGCATTATTAGCATTGTACTCCTATTTTGAAAATAAAAATATGAAGCTCTTATTTTGATATTTTTTCCATATTTTACTTCTAGTTTAATCATTTTTAATAGAAATTAGAAATTAATATTCCATCTTAACAACAACAATACTTGAATAGAAAAAGTAATACGTACTATGCAATATTATGTTTGGTGGCATACCCTCTAGCGCTTGACAAGAGAGTGGCATATGAACGCTCACCAAAGTGATCTACGCCCCTAACATTAAGCTCCATAAAATGTACCGAGTATTCTTTTTTTCTTTTTTCTATCCAAGTACTTGTAATTTTTTTAAATTTTTATCCATTCCAAACTGATTCTCGTACTAAAGAATAAAAATTTTGGTAAACTATTTTTGTGGTGTAAAAATTTTGAATTTTTATAAATGAACTACAACGATACACTTTTCATATTTATTAAGTTCTATATTAAAAGTGGTTTAAAAAGAGTAACTTTTTAAATCCTTTATATAGTATATAAATGAGACTCCAATGAGCTGACATGTGACATTACTAGGAGCTAACATGTATCATTACTTATATGGCTTTTTTATGCAACCCAATTTATGAACTGAATAAAAGGAAAGGAAAATTATTTTTATGTAGCCATGCATTTCTAACACATAATATGTCACATAATTTTTCATATGGAAAATATAAAATTAAAAGTTTGGTAAAAATATTTGATTAAATATAAATATGGGGAAAAAAATTCCTTATTATAATAATATTCTTTCTAAATTCTATATTTTTCTCTTTATTTATAACATATTTTTAGAATAAAATATAAAATACTCTCTTCACCTATAAATAAATTTTATAACTATTTATTATACCTTTACTTGAAATTAGTTTTTTGATTACATTTATTTAAATATTGACACCTAATAAATAAATTGCTTTCTTCACCAATAAATAACTTTAATATTTATTTTGACAGTTACTCCCTCCGTTCCACAAAACTCTTCCCCTTTCGTTTTTTTGAATTCCCTAAAACACTTTCACTTTCTATTAAAAACCCACTTTTATCATTACTTTTTCATACCCTACCTATCACATCATACTTTTTTTCTAATAACCGAACTATCACATCTTACTTTTACCCATCACATCAGGGGTAAAATTGGAAAGTCAACCAAAATTAAACTTTCCTTATTTTTGCCCTAAGTCAAAAGTGGAACGGTTTAAAGGAACGGAGGGGGTAATAGTCTAATATACCACGTAATTAAAAATATAAAAAATGTGAAATCAATATTTTGGTATAAAATCTTTGTAAATGCTGGTTGAAAAATTTGTCTTCAGACCTTTGCAAATGCTAGTTGAAAATAATAAATACACTACTCCCTCCGTCCTAATTATTTTTTCCCAGTTTGACTTTTCCCCATTTTTAATTTTTGGCTTTGACTTCAAATTTTACCCTCCTTAAAAAAGATTTTTTGAATCTTTTTTGCAATCATTCAAAATATAGAGTTACAAGATAATTGATGTAAATACATGAGGGTATTAATGTCATTTGTCATCTTTTTTTTTCGAATGGAAAGGTAGTTTTAGAACGGAGAAAAAGGGGAAGTAGCAATAAAGTTTTAGGACAGAGGGAGTACTATTTTAACAAATGGAATAAAGAGATATGATACTCGAATACTAAATCCATATCTTCACCACATATCTGCTTTTGGCGGTAAATAGTTATTGTTTGAATACTAAGTGCTTGTTACGAATCATGTGTGATGGTTAATTATCAATGTGCCAAGTTGTTAAAAAATGATTAAAGTTTAATCTTATGAATAGTTACTAGGAAGATCATTTTAGTACGAAAGGAGTATAAAATAAAATATTTTTTACCACATAAACAAATGACCCAAACTCACTCTACTATAAATATTACTCCGTACTTTGTATTGTTCTTTATTACTCATATTTTTATTGATTACTTTTATTTTATTTATTTTTATAATTCGTTTTTATACCGTAGTATTTTATTACGGAGTATTATTTATCTATTTGAATTAATAGATAATTATTTTTATTAAATTTATATAAAAATTTTAGCAAAATTGATGAATAGTGTAAAATAAAAGAAGAGGTAGAGTGAGAGAGCGATGACATTACATGTGTTTTAGATTAATTTAAAAGAGAGAATGATAGCGTAACACTCGGGAGAATTGAAGAGAGGGAGATAATAAGGGGGATACAGTTTTGGGAGACATCAAGTAGTACTCTGTCCCTTATTATTTATCTAGCTTTAAGTTTTTGTAATCAAATTTAACAAATTTTGACTACAAATTAAATAAAATTAATACAGTATTTGATATCGAGTCAAAAAGCATATTACTAGTTTTGTTTATCTAGTCAATATATTATATAAATTTTATTTATTTATAGGTTAAAAATTAAAAATACTTAATTACAAAAGATCAAAACAGGTGCGTATGAGAATAAAAAACTAACCTTGTATGGGTGGGTCTCCTTGATAACAAGAATCCGTTCCATATCAGGTGTTGTTTCCTAACCTGACCCGACCTGTGAATAGAACTTGTAATCCAACACAAATTCAAAGTCCTCAAGGAGGATCAAATATCCCGGGTTTCGTTCAGAAGGAGTTCAAGCTTTCCTCCCTTTTCGATCTCCTCCCATTATCAACCCATCTTTGATCGTTTGCGGTCCCATTTTTAGGGTTGAATACAATAGAGGGGTTGATTCTTCTTCTTCTTCTTCTTCTTCTTCTTCAATTCATAGGGTTTCATCTCACCGCTTTTCATGTCAAGCTATTTTTTTCTCAGATCGTAGATAGATAATGTGAAAACTCCACTTTGTTTCCTTCAAGCCGTAACCGAATAGAAGATGTCAAGAAACGGGATTGGGGATATCAGTTTCGATTCCCAGAATGTTAAACGTTTTGGGCACGAATACCGATCCGGCAGGATTATAGATTCGTATTCGGTGGCCTGCGAGGCATTTTCTGAACATTCGTTTCTCTGATCCCTAATTTCCTTTCGAATCCCCTTTTCTCTTGCTTGATTCTTTGAAAAGTTTGATTTTTCACTTTTAGTTCACATGGATTTGGGGGCATCGGGGTTTGTTTTTCCTTTGAAAACTAGCAGAACTTTGGAAGCTTCTGAAGGCGATGTTGCTGAAGTATCTTCTGACAATCGATACATTCGGGTACTTTCTCAGTCTCCCTTTCCATCATTGATATGCTTTTGATTGGAAACTAGGTTGCCAGTGCACGGTGGTGACGATTTTGTAGTTTCTCACTTTTTAATTGTTGATTCACGGTCTCATATGTGCATATGTTTATATTCCAATACATGTTGGCTGGATGGTTGTGTAATTGCTTGTTACAGCTTTCCGGGCTCTCTTTTAGTTTTGTTTGGAATATTTATGCCTCTTTATCTAATGTTTTGGCTTTGCTGGTGCCATCACATTTTATTTGTCTTCTTTTCTCCAGTATAATGAAATCTTGGGAAGAGGAGCCTTTAAGATTGTGTAGGTTTCTTGCTTCTATCTCTTTCATTCTTTTCTACGATGCTTATTCTAGCTTTAATTTCTCAACATGTAAAAATTGACAGGGCCTACTTTAACTTCCGTTTATTTGCATATGTAGCTATAAAGGGTTTGATGAATTGGAGGGTATTGAGGTTGCATGGAGCCAAGTCAATATACATGATGCATTGCAGTGTCCTGCAAATATGGAAAGATTGTATTCTGAGGTTCACTTGTTGAGAACATTGAGGCATGAGAACATCATAAAGTCACTTGACTCCTGGGTTGATGATCAGAACAAAACTATTAATATCATCACAGAGTTATTCACTTCTGGAAGCTTGAGACAGTGAGTTATACTACATACACGTAGAGTATATCCTACATTATTGCTTACTCATGTTACTTGGTGCTTACCTATTAATCTTAAATTAATAAAGCATTTTTCTTTGTGTTGTTCGTATGCGTAGGTATAGAAAAAAACACAAGGTTGCTGACCTAAAGGCCATCAAGCACTGGGCTAGGCAAATTCTTAGAGGCTTACAGTATCTCCACTGTCACAACCCCCCGATTATTCACAGAGACCTGAAGTGTGATAATATATTCATCAATGGGAATCATGGTGAAGTTAAAATAGGTGATCTTGGATTGGCTACAGTAATGCAGCAGCCTACTGCAAGAAGTGTAATTGGTAAACATTCACTTCGTGTGGACATGATGGTCCATCTTCATTGAGATCAATTATTAGCCTCTTTTATTGAACTTTTTCTTATTGTCTTCATGCTTTTTTGTTGATGTTGCATAGGAACTCCAGAGTTTATGGCACCTGAGCTCTATGATGAAGAGTACAATGAACTTGTTGACATTTATTCGTTTGGTATGTGCATGTTAGAGCTGATAACACTCGAATATCCTTACAGTGAGTGCAGAAACGAAGCACAGATCTATAAAAAGGTTTCTATGGTAGGACCCATTGGCTGCTAGCCGTTAATATATGGTTGCATTTATGTTATGTTCCAATGGTTTATTGTCTAAATCATCTATGATGTGGTTCCAGGGCATAAAACCTGCATCTTTGGATAAAATTAAGGATCCTGAAGTAAAGCAATTTATTGAGAAGTGTCTGGTACCAGCATCTCAGCGTTTAAGTGCCACAGAACTCTTGAAAGATCCATTCCTTTCATCTGCTACCAGTTCCAGCGATCTCCCTCCTGAAGCTATGCACGACTCTAATTTAATGCCGAAGCCTGATTCACTCTCAATGGATATAGATCCCACCACCAGAAAGGTATCTAGTGTTGCTGGCATAGAGAGCATGACTGAAATTCCTCAAGCTTCTGAGTTCTTGAGATGCAACGGTAAAAATGAGTTTCGGCTAAGAGGAGAGAAGTATGATGAAAGTTCCATTTCATTTAGCTTGCGTATTACTGACCATAAGGGTATGTTGTAATTCTACAAAAGCTTGTATTTGCATTTATTGATAAGTTCCCCTTGTTTGTCATTAACATTTGAAGTCTACCCTTTTAAACAGGCCAGGTGAGGAATATCCATTTCATGTTTTACCTTGATCGTGATACCACTTTCACAATTGTTGAGGAGATGGTTGAACAACTTGAGCTGCCAGATGAAGACGTGACATTAATAGCTGACATGATTGACTGCTTAGCTTCAAAACTTGTACCGAGTTGGAAACCGTCATGTGGAAGTTTGGGTGCCATCAAAAGTCCAAATGACCATTCAGTTCCTGCCACTACTGATTTCAAAAGTCATGATGGATCAAATATGTTTTCTGGCCAAGGGTCTACAGAGCAACAGCAGCAGCAGCAACAGCAATATGTCTTTTCTCCACAAGCATCACATGGAGAGGATATCAACATCGAAGAATTATTCAAGGTGAATATATCTTCTTGTGATGATGATGATGAAGTATCAGCCACACATGGTGAGCATAAGAAATACTTAACATCTCAGAATTCGGAGATCTCCTCGACTGGGTCATGGAACACCATTTCCAATGATATGAATGGCGTCTGTGTTTCTTCACTCTCCGTGGCAGACGTGGATAATGGGAAAGACCAGTGCCATGATGAACTCAAGCTGGAAATTGAGGCCATTGAGTTGCATTATCACCAATGCTGCCGAGAACTTATGAGGATGAGGGAGGAGGCAATTGAGAATGCTAAGAGGAAATGGGTCGCGAAAAAAATGTGTGCCATATGATAATATAATGCCGCGGGCTGCTTCAAGCTAGTTTGTCAAATTACTATACTTTTCTGTGTGGATTGGTTTAACCAAATGGAGGATATATTTTTGCTTCCTCCTGATTATACAAACGTCTGTTTTCTGTCTGCCCCCAAACCCAATAACCCCCATGCTTCCCCATTTTTCTATATACACTCCGAATTTTAATTTGTTTATTATTTCGTGGCCAATTAAGTTGACAATTAGGATTTGATTTTTTTTTAAACCTTTCCTGCGCTGCATTTTATTGGAGTACATCATTTTCTTACTGCATTTTCAGTATCCATGTGTGAATTTTGAACTTTTCTTTTCTCTTTTTTGCATTACGCAATGTGAGTCCATTGCGCTTTTGAACACGGATTGCACTTTCAGCCTCTGATTTGTTTGTACTTGAAATGCCCTTTTTTATTAATCAGGTCCATGAATTTGTACTCCAGCTGGGTGGCTCCAGTGTTAAAAGGAATCTAATACATTTGCCCCCAAATATCTATCAAAAGCTGTTCACTTTTGAAGAAGAGGGTTGATTTTCTTGCACCACCCCACTCTTTGCGTTATGTTAGTGGTACCCTAATTTGTACACTTAATGCAAACACAGACATAACATGCCTGTATTTGCCTTTAGTGTACTAGTTGGGGAATAAATTGGGTTACCCCTAGCTTTATTGTAACTCTGGGAGCTAATATTAGAATTCTACATTTGTTATCTACATTCCACAACTTTACTTTTCTTTCATTGTCCCCTTCATTTTCCCTTTCCCTCGCTGGTGACTTGGCATTTCCCATGCCGTAGGCACACCGGACAGCCTAAGTTGGCAACTTTACCCTTTTTTTTATTAGAAAACCTCATTGAATGGACTATCAAGTCTTTGCATCAACCTTACCTTGAAAAAATGCTTTGCATCAACCTCACTCACCATCACATGTATGAGGCTTAATGGTACAACGTTTATAAGAGTTACTTTAGTTTTATTTATTTAGATTTCAACATAAAGTTTTTAAAAAATAAGTATACAATGTCATAATTTATGATGTACTCCGGGGTACAACATTTGACAAGATTTATTTTTAATTTATTTTTTTAAAACTCTGGCATAAAGTTTTAGAAAATAAAATTTGAATTAAAAAATCTATAAAATAAAAGGGCGTATTACTTTTTGCAATTTAAAAGAGAGAACTTTTAAGGGTTAAATGAGTTTTAGTCTCTCAAAAAATAGACAATTTTTGTTTTTGAATCCTGTATATTGTTTTAAATATAAGTCATTCTTACAATTTTTTTTATTTTGAAAGTGGTTATTAAAAACATAATTAGCAAATCTAATTAGTTGAGATAACACATTTGTTTAATATTCAAAAACTAAAGTAGCCCATTTTATAGATAATACATATTTAACCTGAATTTTTCTATAATATTGGAGGATAAATAACCGTGGTGACAATAATAAAAAATGCCGCCAAAATACTTACAAAATAGGAGCATGCGACATGTACTCCAACATTTGTACCTCATTTCTACACCAAAGGTATGCACCAACATTTTGATGGATCACACTGACATAAAGCGTTGGTGCGTTAACAAAAATTTACACTGACACAAAGTGTTGGTGCGTCAACAAAAATTATCATTACACTAACACAAAATGTTGGTGCATCCCTGCGGTGTACAAAATGAAGTAAAATTTTTTGGGGTACAAATAGCATTATTTTACAAAATACGTAGTATTCAATTAATTTCATGGCTGGGATTCGAATGACTTTTTTTGTTTTACAAAAGTAACTCTCCTTTCATTTAAGAGATGTTCTATCTTGGATACTTGGATCTAAGATCCACATGGATCTTCTTACCCTACTCTTTCCTAATTTTTATTATTAAAAAAAACCTTCTTACCTCAACATCTTGAAATGCTTATCTAGAATGAATAGTCATCCTAAGATTCAAATATAAAATGTAAATCTTTTCACATTTTTCATGGGTTTACAAGTAGCCCGTTTCTGTTTTGCAAAAAGCCCAAATGATTTTGGTAATTATATACAAAAGTCTATAAAATGAGTGTAGACTTAAGGATCACGCAAGAATTTGTCATCTAGAATATATAAAGGTCCACTATAGACACCTTGGACCTTAGACCCATGCAAGTATTTGCCTTCATTTTAATGCTCCATCCATCCAGTAATTTTATTTGCTTGACTTAGACACATTTTAAAATAAAGTTGAATGTGTGTGGCTATCATTTGTATTAGGAAAAAATAATTTGATTAATGTGACTTTTTCTTTAAAAAAAAAAGTGGATGAAAATTTTAGGACAATCCAAAATTCCAAACAATAAAATAAAAAGATAAATATAGCACATGAGTACAATACCACTACCTAGTACGGAGTAACTCTTTAGGTCTGTTTTGAATGAATCCCTGGTTAATTCTAAGAAGAACAAGTAATAGAGAAAAAGATAAGTTGTAATGTGATGGCAATCTAATCTTATCATGTTACTATCTCATATGGGCTTTGGTCTATGCCATATTCTTATCCTAATCTCATCCAATTAGTATCGAACTATTTATCTTTTCTGTTAAAAATTTGTTTGTTTATATCTCCCTCGAACTTTAGGAGTAATATCATGCTGTTTTATGAAAATTTGCATATGAATAGGTTGCTTGAACGAACTGGTTGATAGTTTGGTAATTAGTAATCTTGGACAAGCATGCTCTGGTTTTGTGTTTTTCTTCTCCATTACATGTTAACTTGTAAGGGGCTCTAGGGCCAAGCTTCACCAAAATTTCATCTGAAAAGTTTTAGAAAATGAGAAGTTTATAATGCTATGAGTTGAACTAGGTGGTTAGACAGACCTTTCTTAGTTGTGATTTTTAGTGCCATTTATATACATTGCATTCTAGCTCAACTTAGACCGGACCGAGTTTCAATTGATCTATATTTGAATTGTAGAGAAATATGGGAACATCTGATGACAGAAAAATGTAGACACACATTCACACACACGACCAATGAGAAAGTAGGATCATGTTCCCGATCGAGTGGTATTTTTGGTGTACTCTTATGGCTAATTTTTCTCTTACTCTCTTTGTTTGCTAATGTTACAAACACCAACTTCAACATCCTTGTTTAATAGCCATTATCTTCACACTTCTTGGCATCATATCTGCCCTCACTAATCTGGTCTATATTTCAAAATCACTCACATCTTTTCGTTGTTCATTTATTATCTTCAGTCTATATATCCTCCTTGCAAGACTTTAAATTTTTCCTTTATGGCATTCTATGAAAATCCTATCAAGAACAATGTCTATGGTTTCAGATATAAAATTATAAATGAAAAATGTGTAATTTGTGTACGAGTTTAAGCTTTGAATTGAGTCGTGTTACTAGATCATTGGAAGGGAGTATGTTTGTTCACATCAATGCAACACTTACAAAACAGCACAAGTTAATTAATCGTTCATCTCTTGAAAGAATCATGTTCTCTCCAATGCATTTCTAAAGAACCAACAACAAAAAGGTTAACCCAAATATAAAATCACATGTAATTTCTTCAAGAATGCAGAAACCCATCAAACTGAAATAATTTGTGCCATTTTTCCCATATAAACTTGTGACCTTTCCAATATCACCATATGGTTCTGTTCAAGAACAGAGATAAACCCAGGCATGAAGCAAGAATATGGAAAAAGAATGTAGCCTTTACCGACGAAGAAGGGGGAGCTTGAAAAGGGATTGAACCAAAGACATTAGGGGCAGAAGGCCCAGCTGCTGAGGAGGAAGATGGACCATTAGCTGTGGGTGAGACTGCATTATCAGAAGATGATGAAGTAATATTTCCTCCAGCCACAAAAACATGGACTTTCTGGGACTTTTCACAGTGGCCCTTTTCCCCACTAATGAAATAAAAGTCCCCTGCTTCTGTTATGTTGAACAAGGAGTTGCCATTGTCCAGGGTCAAGATTGGATCTTTTAGGTTGCAGCTCTTGTAGGATTGTGCAGTCACCTGTATTACTGAATCTTGACTTGGTGGGTACAAAAAAACTGCAAAAACAAAATCCCAAATTTTTATCATAAAACGACTAAATCTATTTCCAGAAAGCATAAACAAGGCAAGAAATCGGAGGATTAGAGAGGGTTACAAAGTGAATCTCCAATCTTGAAAACATGATGTTTTGCCCATTTGGCATAGACTTTTGAATTCCCTGAGGAGGGAATGTTCCATGAATCTAGGTCTCCAACCTTGTACTGGTGGCAGAAGGCGCAGGTGGCTTGTACCAAGAGGAGGAGATGGTACCAAAAATGGCAGTTTTTTGAAATCCTAAGATGAGTGGCCATTTACTATCTAACATTACTCTCTGGGCTAGCAGTGGGGGAGAGAGGGCGTTACAGCTTTATTTGGAAGATGAATTGTATTGGCCAGCAGATCCTAGTGTCCGTTTGGTATTGCTTTTCAGATGGGAATTTACCATAAACACCCTCAACCTCTATCTAGGGACTAGGATTATTGTTCTTTAGTAGTTGGGTAAAGCTATTTGTACCCCAATTTTTGTAACCCATTTTGTACCCCGCGGGTTTGCACCAACACTTTGTGTTGGTGCAAAACTAATTTTTGATAATGCACCAATACTTTATGTACGTGTAAATTTTTTTTAATGCACCAACACTTGTGCCAGTGTAAGGCCCCGTTCCGTTCAACTTATTTTTTCTTATTTTTTCTTATTCTTATTAAAATCAGATCAGATCGAATAAGATCAGATCAGATCAGATCGAATCAGATCAGATCAGATCCTATCAGATCAGATCAGATCAGGACTTATTAAAATCAGATCTCATCAAGAATTATTATTATTATTATTATTCTTATTATTATTAATATTATTTTTGTTATTATTATTATTATTATTATTATTATTATTATTATTATTATTATTATTATTATTATGATCATCATCATCATCATCATCATTATTATTATTATTATTATTATTATTATTATTATTATTGTTCTTAAAAATGAAAAAGAATAAACTTTAGAAATAGGTTAAATAGAAAACTGAGAAAGTAATCCTTAATTATTAGACATCGGAAAAATTAGTTTTAAAATACATTGACAATATCGATATTGTAAATGTATTTTAAAACTAATTTTTCCGACGTCTAATCCAGCACTAGTAGCAGTAGCGCAACGGAGATGGTAGCACTTAAAGAGCAAAATCA